GGTGTTAGGCTGAACTTCATTCAGTGTGTTCTGGGGAAATGCAGAGCTGGGGCCTGCCCACCAAAGATTCTGAAAGGATTCTGATAATAGCCTGGTAATTCTGAACAGTTAAAAAAAAATAAATTAACAGCTTTATTGAGATATATTGCACAAGGGGCGCCTGGGTGGCTCAGTTGTTAAGCGTCTCCCTTCGGCTCAGGTCATGATCCCAGGGTCCTGGGATCGAGTCCGGCATCAGGCTCCCTGCTCAGCGGGAAGCCTGCTTCTCCCTCTTCCACTCCCCCTGCTTGCGTTCCCTCTCTCGCTGTCTCTGTCAAATAAATAAATAAATAAATAAACAAACAAACAAATAAAATCTTAAAAAAAAGATTGCACATATCACACAGTTCACCCATTTTAAAATATACAATTCAATGTGTGTGTATGTATTTGTTTTGTATAATCACTCTTTGTTGCAGGGTTGCAGGGTCCTTGTCTCACGGAGTCGAAGAATGAATCTCGTGGACACAAAAGGGTGAGGTGCAGTGAAGTGAAAGTTTATTAAGAGAAGGTGAGAACAGGAAGGAAAGAAAAAACTCTCCAGAGAGGGGTCCCGAGCGGGTTGCCACTGAGGTCTTTTATGGTCGGTCTTTTATAGAAGACTGACCAGGGAACTGAAATCCTGACGTCACCACTGATAGCACCGTGATGACTTCTCCTTCGAATATCTCATCTCTGATGTTTAAGGCAAACGAGGTGGTCTGGTTCTGTTCCCTATCTCTGGTTTCCTTACGTGTCAGCATTTCTGGGATTTTTGGTGAGCCTGATCACACAGCGCCCTACCTATCTCTCCCTACCCGGCCCCTCCTGTCCCTTACTCATTTTTAGCATTTACAGCACTCCTAAAAGAAACCCCGAACCCATGAGCAGTCACTCCCTATCTCCTCCAACTTCCCTCCACGCCCACCCCAGCTCTAAGACAGCCACAAATAGACTTTCTGTCTGTATAGATTTGCTTATTCTGGACAATTCATATGTCTGGAATTATACAGATGTGGTCTTTGGTGGCTGACTTCTTTCACTTAGCACAATGATTTCAAAGTTCATCTATGTTGTAGCATCAACCAGTACCTCATTCCTTTTTATGACTGAATATTCCATTGTAGAGATACACATTTTGTTTATCCATCATTAACTGATGGACATTTGGGTTGTGCCTACCTTCTGGTTATTATGAATAATGATGCTATGAACATTCGTGTACAAGGTTTTGTGTGGACAGATGTTTTCAATTCTCTTGTATGTACATATATATATATATACACACACATACGTACGTACATACCTGGGAATGGAATTGCTGAGTCATATGTTCACTCGGTTTAATCTTTTATGTATGAGAGTTCTAATTTCTCCATAACCTCATTAATTATTATACATTTTTGATTTTAGCCATCCTAATGGGTATACAGTGCAATTTCATTAATAAAAGTATTTTTTTTGGAGAGAAAAGGAGGGGCAGAGGGAGAGAGAGAGAAGGAGAGAGAAAACCTTAAACAGGCTTAACCGACTGAGGCTCCCAGGCACCCCTCATTTAAAAACTTTTTTTAACTTGGGCGCCTGGGTGGCTCAGTCGTTAAGCGTCTGCCTTCGGCTCAGGTCATGATCCCAGGGTCCTGGGATCGAGCCCCGCATCAGGGTCCCTGCTCTCTGGGAAGCCTGCTTCTCCCTCTCCCACTCCCCCTGCTTGTGTTCCTGCTCTCGCTGTGTGTCTCTCTGTCAAATAAATAAGTAAAATCTTAAAAAAAATTTTTTTTTAAACTTTTTTTTTTTAAGTAGGCTCCACACCCAACAATGGGGCTTGAAATCATGACCCCAGAGATCAAGAGTCACATGCTCCACCAGCTAAGCTAGCCAGGTGCCCCTCATTGTTGTTGTCGTTTGATTTGCATTTCTGTGGTGGCTAAGGTTGTTGAGCGTCTTTTCATGTACTTATTGGCCATCTGTATATCTTTGGAGAAATGTCTATTTAGATTTTTTTGCCCATTTTTAAACTGGGTTGCTTTTTTATTTGGGTTATTTGCTTGTAGGGATTCTTTACATATTCTAGATAAAATCTCATCAGATTTATGATTTGCAACAATTTTCTCTTGGGTTTTTTTTTTTACTTTCTTGATGCCCCTTGGGGCATAAGAGTTTTAGATTTTGATGACGTTTAGTTTATTCTCTTGTTGCTTGTGGTGCACACTTTGAGAAACATTACTAAAATGCAACTCGAAACTCTGGAAGTTTTGAGACCTCAAAGCTTGGGTGGGTTTTTTAGGTCACCTTGGAGGACTCCCTCCCCAACCCCAGCAAGCCCGGGTTCCTTCTCAGGGCTGGAAGCACAGAGCCTTAGGACCTTCTCAGTCTTTACATCCCCTCCCTCTCCTGAGGTCTACCACAATAGAGCAGCTGAAATGACAGTTTGGAAATGTCCCTTATTGTAAAAACTCCATGGTCTTTGTCTCTGGGATTTGAAATTTTGATGCCGATGTTGGCAGCCAAGAGTTAGGAAGGAGAAGGGGAAGGGCTGGGAGAAGAAACCCTTCCACTGATTTCCATAGTTGAGTCATTTCAATTCTCTCTGCTGTCCTGGTTTTCTCACCCATAAAATGGGGGAGAATACCTCCATCTGCCTATCTTAGTGGGGATACTGTGAAGATGCATTAATCTGTATTTGTTAAAACACTTTGAGATCTTGGATTAAAGGCATTACTGGAGCACAAGGTATTATTATAATAATAAATGATTTAATAGGGAGAGTGCAGCCACTAAAGCAAGGATCCCCGAAGGGGCAGGAAGGAGAGAGGCTCTGATCGCTGAAGTCTGGGCCCAGACACAGGTTTTTATCTTTAGAGGTGAGATATGATTTCTCACAAACTGTTTGGGTTATTTCATCTGAATTCAGCATTGCTTTATAGAGTGCTTCCTATATGACTCTGCCATAAGGAAAGATTACAATCTTTTTAGGAAATAGGTTATGTACATTAAAACAATTAAGCAATGCAAGGCATTATAACGAAGTGCTGAATTGAATATAACAGGTGTCAAAAAGAAAGCAGAATAGATGGTGATGAAGATCAGCTTTGCCCAGGTCTATCACACACTAACTGCGTGACCTTGCCTCCGTCTCTTCCGTGACCGTAACTGTACAAAGGGCTTAGAATAATGGTTAGCACATAGTAAGCACTCAAATGTTGGACTTCTCTGGAATCTTGTCAGGGTCTGCTTTTGCTGGTTATGTAATCTTGGTCAAGTTGCTAGGTACCTTCTGATCCTCTCTTATCTGTAAAATGGGAATAAGGATACTGACTAGCTCACAAGGTTAACTGTGAGGATGGAGGGAGATAATGTAAATGGCATAGCACTGGGCCCTACAAATGGTAAGCATCCACTAAATGAGTTATTATTACTGTAATTGACACTATTTCCTGCCCGAGGAGTGAGCGGTGCACTCAGTAATGGCTTAGTTAAATCAAGGGCCTTCTTTGGAACCTGGAATTTGAGATGGACAGAACGGGATAGGATTCAGGTGATCAGAAGAAAGCAGGCTCAAAGAAAGGCGGAAGTATGAAGAAGGACAACACCCCCCCACCCCCCCCCTGGAACACAGGAAGGGACTTGGGGCTTTTCACTTTTCTCTTCAGTGGGGGGCCTGGCTGGCTATAGCTGGTGGAGCCGCGGCGGTTTACCCCCAAACTCCTTCCGCAATCTCGGCTTTCACCTTCCCAGGAGGCGAACGTAGGGCTCGGCAAGGTTGGAGCCTACCCTCCCTCCCCGAGGAATGTGGGTCCCGCTTCCGGGGCCGATGAGGCCCCGCGCTTACCTCTTCCCCGGCAGTCGGCAGCCAGGAGCCCCGCTGTCTCCACCCCACCCTCTGCCTGGATCCTGTTTCAAAGTCACCTGAAAGCCATTTCCTTCCGCGCCCGTCCCCCCCCCCCACACCGCCCCATGTAAATCACCTGGAGTTTGCATTTGCCTGGAGCAGGTTTTTTTTTTTAAGCGTGTTTTCTTTTTAACAAGAACTCTATTTGCCATTTACTATACACACTTGTCTACACAGAACCCAGTGATTCGGTATCAGTGTTCCATTCCTCCTCCCTAGGAACTGGTGATAATGCCTAACCAGTGGGATCTCTTCTGGGGCCCTACCCTGGGCTTCTCTACTGCCTTGTGCGGGGACAGCATCTTTTTTCCATCTTTATTGATGAAATTATTTTGCGTTTTAAAACTTAACGATCTTGCACAAAATCCAGCCTGTCCTTATTCAGTGTTCGTGACCCCCTTCCAGGTGTGTACCTTCCCATGCGCATAGGATTACATACAGACATAAAAAGAAGAGACAGGTTCTGTCTTCGTTTTACAAAAACGTGGTTCTCTATTACACAGGTTTCTGCATCTTGCTTTATCTCCCTAGCAGTCTTTTGGTGGGCTCCCGCCGAGTTACCCGTTTCTTCATCTCTTCAGCTTCCTCGAGGCTTGGATTTACATTTGTAAAGGATCACAGGGGCCGAGTTGCGGTGAGATATTCATGTAAGTGCCTTTCTGACTCAGAAAAGCCAAGATGACCTGCTCTGGTAGGATCGAGACCCCCAAAGCCGATCCCAACTAATGTCTTCCTAGAACGCCCCCTTTCCTATCCGCACAATGGGAGGTGTCTGGCTGTGACACCGGGGTGACCCCCACCACGTGCGTCTTTGTATCTGCGAGCACCTAGGCGGCGGGGGAGCGGCTCACGCGGGACGGTCACCGGCGGGGCAGCGCGCTCGCCCCACCTGCGGGCGTTAATCATTAGTGGCGCACGATCCCCTTCACCCCGGGCCCCGGCTCGCCGCGACGCGAAGGTTCTCCGGGTCCCCGCGGAGCCGCCAATTGCTGGATTCCAGCGGCCGGCCTGAGTCTCCACCCACTGGAAAAATTCCTGCCCCGCCCCTCCCTCTCTCCTCCCTCCCGCGGCAGCTCCGGCTCCGCTCGCCCGGCCCCGACTTCCTGCCGGGCGCTGGGAAGGCGCGCGCGGGCTGGGGTCCCCGGGGGCCGCGTCAGCAGCTGGCCGCGTCCCGGGCCGCCGAGGGGCTGGGCAGTGGGCGGGAGCGGCCCGCAGCCTCAGCGCCTGCCGAGAGCGACTTTCAAACTCGCGCCTGCGTCGCGGCCGCACCTGGCCAGCCTCGCGCGCGGAGCGTGCCGGACCCGGCGGGGCGGCGACCGCGCGGTGAGTGGCCCTCGCTTCTCCCCTCTCCCTCGGCCAGTGGCAGCGCCCAGAGCCCCTCCGCGGCCCCCACCCTCCCGGGCCCTCGCCCCAGCCCCCCGCGGGGTGAGGCCTCGGGGCGGCTGAGGAGGGCCCGGGGCTGTGTTGGCGCCTTCCGGGGCGAGCCCCCCGGCAGAGGACCGGAGCGCGGTAGGCTCGTGCACGGAGTCCTTTTCTGTCCTGTAGTCTCCACCCCGGAAACAAAAAGAGCGAGCGCTCCAGGTGGCTCCGGGAAGCTCCGTTTGAAAGCCGGGAAGCCCGCGAGGCTGCGCCCGCCCGCTCCGCCTGCGCGCTCGGGCGCCCGAGGGCTGGCCCTTGCCTCGAACTGTGGGACTCGGGCCGAGTGGACCCTTCTGGGGAGGGACCTCAGCCTCTGGTCCCGGGAGCCCAAGGGGCGCCAGCGGCGTGTTCCGGGTTGGTGCACATGGTGCTCATTCTTGGGAATCTCAGCTCTTGTCCTGGAAGGGTTAGAGTGGGTGCCAGAAAGGCGATGTCGGGAGCCGAAGGCATAGAGACCACTGCCTGCCACTGTCGGCCTCGACCTCGCCCACTCCTGAAATCCGTCTGGTTACTTTTCTCCCCATTCTCAGCCCTTTGGTTTGGAAAGCTAGGATGAGACCTGGAAATTTCAAGACATTTTAGGGTAGCTACTTTTACTCTTTGGAGCTGCTTTTGAAAACAAAGAACGGAGTGGGAAATGTAATGGTAGGAGGCTGGAGAGGTGTGGCCTGGGGGGGGGCGGTGTTAGTGGCCGTGGTAAGAGTTTCTTCCTCCAGGTCACTTGCTAAACTGTTGGCAGATGAAGGAAGCTGTCTTCTCTGGAGCCCCTGTGGAGGCGACTCAGACTGCGTTCTCCTATATGGAACCCTAGACTAGGGGTTCTTAGAGTCTCCCCAGCCCTGCCTCTTCATGCAGCCTAATCACATCAACCTTAAGAAATAATAAGTAGGGAGAGTAATGACAGCCCAGGAGGGCTTCCCTTCTGAGCACGTCGCCTGCTTCCTTTTAGGAGAGTGCCTTTCCAACACCTCCCTTGATGGACTGGGAGTGGAATCCTGATTGCCTTAAGCTGGGAATGACTTCATTCCAACCGTCCCCAGCAGAAAACCTAGAGAGTAAGAACCAAAGGAAGGTGTACCTTTGTCATTCACCTCTTCCAGTGATCCCCGGGTGCCTCATCTCTTCCTTCTAAGCCTGCTGTTAATGCTCCTGCTGCTTCTGCTGAACCTGTTCTCTTCCCCCAAGGGCTGGGCAACCCCCTGGCTCCCTGGTATCTTGCTCTGGGGATAGGGCAGGGAGTCAGCATGGGGTAAACCAAGTCCTAGAAGCAGAGGGAGTGGTTTAAGGGTTGTTTTGGGGGCTTTTCCACTTTTATTAGATGTGGCCTTTTATGAGATATGGCCTGTCAGGAAGAGTGGAAAGAGCACGGGCCTGGGGAGTCCAGCACAGGATTTTGCTTGAATTTTAATCCTGGCCCTACTGCATACCATTAAAGATTGGTAGCATCGCTAGTTCTGGAAGGCACCTCTGATTAGCCTATCTACACAGGAAGGAAGCAGATCCCAGAGATGTGAGATGATTTGAGCCTGGTCCCTGTTGGCCAAACAGGGACTAGAACTCAGATTTCCTGCTCTGGCTAATCCGTGTTTTCTCCAACATGACCTGGGTGAATCACATATCTTTCAGACTCCGTTTCCACCTGAGTAAAGCAAGGTACTTGCCTTCTCCTCCTTATAGAGGTTGTGGTAGGGATCAAATGAAGCCAGATACGTGGAAAGTGCTCCATAAACTCTTATACAAAATAAAGGGCTCACTGTGGCTAGGAGAGGCTCTCGAGAGCTTTAAAGTTTACTGGATATGTCCCACGTGTGCCACAGGAGATGGTAAATACGAGGATCCTGTGGTGGAAGTTTACATCTGTGGCCTGTGATATCTCAGCTCCAGAGTAAACATTTGGCTTACCAAATCCACAGCTAACCCAGGGTCACTGTGTTTACACCGGAGGAGGCCAAAGGCTATGGCCTGAGGGATGACCAGGGCTGGAGGGGAAAAGGGACTGTGTTCCAGATGTGTGGCTTGCCCCTTCACCTCCACCCCCTCTCAGAACCTTGTGAAGCCTCTGGCTCCAAGCCTGGAGGGGTTGCCACAAGCCCAGGCTGGGGCGCTGACTTTGGAGGGTTAATTGAGGAGCCATCTAGTTATTCTCTGTTGTGTTGGGGGTTGAGGGGATTCTGGGCTTTGGGAGCGTGTTGCCTTTGCAGCTGCACTGAGGCCCTTCTTCAGCTCCTCATTTGCCTCCCTCCCCACTACCCCAGGCTGCCGCTCTGGCCCTGGTCTCTGCTCTGGTCTGACTCTCTGGCCAGCTGTTTGTCCATAGGCCTTTGTTCCAAAGCTGCCTGCCCACCCTCCCCAGCAGAAGCCCTCAGGCTGGAGCCTTGGCAGCTGGAAGTCACTACTGTGCAGGAAGGCTCTAGTGGAATCCACAGGGGACCTGGCAGACCCTCATTTCCTCCTCTTGGGCTCCTCTTAGGGCTCCTAACTTGCTCCTGGCCATTCTTTTCTCATCTCCTTCTTCCCCTGAATGGATGGATCGTCCTTTTTTTTCTTCCTACAATTATGCTTCTTAGTTCTATTTTTAAGTATTCATTCAACATTTATTTAGTGCCTACCGTATATGACTGTAGATGCAGTGAACAAAGTATACAAATATTGACCTGGAACTGACTTGTAGTGGGGGAAGCTGACAGACAGCAAGATAGAAAGTGAAATAGAAAGCATATCAGTTTAAAAAAAAAAAGAAAGAAACGTCAGTGATAAGTAGAAACATGTGATAGGCAAGGAGGTGGTGGATGTGCATTGCCATGGAGGGGGTGAGATGGCATTTTAGATGGGGTGGCCTGGGAAGCCTCCTGAGCGAGGGATGTTGGAGATAATGCCTCAGGGAAGAATTTCCCTTCATCTCTTACCGCCTTTGCTTGACTCCCAGTTGGAGCAACCCACTGCGGGATTGAGGGGCAGGGTTTGGAATTGGATGCACCTGGGTTCGGATCCCAGCTTTCCAGCTTGCTAGCCCCTTGGTGCTGAACTCCTCTGAGCCTGTTTCTCACCTGTAAGATGGAGTTAGTCATCATACCTACCACGTACAGTATCTTGTGAGAATGAACAATGAGAATGTGTGTTAAATGCTCAGCAAAGCCCACAGAGGTGTTCAATAAATGATAGTTGTATTATTTCTCCAACCAAATTGTGTGTGGGCGGGGGGGGGTGGGAGGTAGCCCAAGATATTTCATGCCATTGCTAAGGACTCTGGATAAAAGGCTTTGCATTTCAAGTGTTGGGCAGGGATGGGGAATTGGAGGGAGATCAAAACAGAAACCCTAGTTAGTGCAGACTTCCCAGTTAGGGAGACTTTACCCTATCCTAGATTTCCAGTGGTTGGTCTGAGTGAGGATGCAGGACTACCAGGTGTGGGCCGCTTGCCCCGGGGCAGGGCGAACTGGGGGCAGCCCTGACCTTCCCTTGCTCTGGAATTCCCCCAGCTTCTAACCAGCCCTGATGAATCACACCATGGTCCCTGGCCTCTTTGCTCGGCCTCACAGCAGGGAAGGCTATTCGCCCCTCTCCTAGCCCCCTGTAGAAAAGTGACGTTCAGAGATGGAGGGAAAAAGGGGTGGGGGGATGAGAGGGGAGGGCTGGGCAGATAGCATAGGTGGCAAGAGGATTCAGATGGAGCCTTATCTCGGGTTCTGCCTGGACCTCTTAACTGCTCAGCTTTGTGCTGCGTCTGCCCAGCCAGTCTGTGGAGTCTCAGACTTCAAAGGGAGGGGCCTGCTCCGAGACTCCTATCAAAGCTGTGGTGATCGGTTTCCTGGGGGCCCTGCCCTGGCTCAGGAAGCAGGGATGGGCTGTGGAGGGTGAGGCCTGGGGAAGTGGTCATCAGCCAGACCCCCCCCCCCCCCCCCCCCCCCCCCCGAGGGCCCCGTGGCGCACGCAGGACAGCCAGGCAGGCCCTGTGGTGAAGGAACTTTCTGGGCCTGCCAGTTGGTGCCTAGAGACTGCATACAACTAGTTATAATCTGGCCCCAGAGGAAGTTGCAAAGATGGCCCTGAACAGCCCCAGGCGTTTTGTTTTTGGGTGACCTTAAAGGAAGAGGAAAATGGCAGGGTCCGCTACCCTGTGATCAGAAGGAGGTGCACCTGGAGACACCTGGCAGTGCTTCTGGGAGTTAGCTGTTTGGAATGATGGCTGGTCTTGTTAACTGGTCTCTGCTCTGTGCTGCTTATTTTATTTATTCATTTATTCATTTAAAAGATTTTATTTATTTATTTGACAGAGACACAGCGAGAGAGGGAGCACAAGCAGGGGGAGTGGGAGAGGGAGAAGCAGGCTTCCTGCCGAGCAGGGAGCCCAAGGCGGGGCTCGGTCCTGGGACCATGACCTGAGCCAAAGGCAGATGCGTAACGTAACTGAGCCACCCAGGCGCCCCTGTACTCCTTACTTTGATTAGAAGCTGTCTGAGGGCAGGAACTGTGCCGGATTCATCTGTGGTCCCGTTATAGCACAGAGAACAGTATGAAGTGTAACCAACAGGTGGGTGAGGAGCTTGTGCTGAGGTCCCGGCCTGAGAGTAATCTGGGCTTGGTGGTCTCATTGGCTCCCGCTTTTCTTCCATGGGAGCTGGGGGGCGGGGGAAGAAGGCAGTGGTGGGGGTTAGGCCCCACCTGGGTGGGCTGTGGCCATCTGGGAACACAGGCAAAGGGAGAGCCAGGCTTTTTACAGTTCTCTTGCTGGCCTTTGGGGAGGGATCTCTGGTTTAAGCTCAGGGAATGGATTTTTAAGGACTCTTAAACGCTTGTTTCCTGCTGAGCAGATTGTGGGCCTGGACACAGGACCTGCACAAGGTTCTAATGGGAACGGTGGTGGCCGTCCATGCAGCTTTTTGGAAAACCCAGTTTGAGAGTCC